CGCTCCTCCAACCGCACCACGGTCGCCAGCCACCTGGCCCAGCGGTTCGCCAAGCAGCCCGGACAGCCGTAGTGGGCAGTGGCGGCGGCGGACGGGGTGCGGGACGTCGCCACATCGGAGTGGCAGCCGGGGAGGGGGGGGGGCTTCATGTCTGAGCGGGGGGGGGGGCGTGGGCGACGGGAGCGGGGCGGGGGGGGGGGAGACAGCGTCACGTTTTTGAGTGGTTGGCCCGCGTGACGTCCGATGCCTGGGAAGGGGGTGGGGTTGCCGTAATCAGGATGTTATAATGCTATGTATTCTACCACGGCCGCTCCACACGCTTACTTTTTACTCCAGGAAGTCTACCATATTATTTTGGCGTTGGCATATGTGCACACCATACAGATATATGTCCAGAGAAGTTTGTGTTTTTTCTACTCTCCGGGTGCTTTTATGTGCTGTTTTTCTATCTGTCCGGATGACTTTTAGGTGCTGCTTGTTGCGCAGTGTTTCATGTTGTGACGTCTGGTCTGTTTTACTTACACTGAGTATTAAAATTACGCGTTGCGGTTTGATCTCTCTAAAACGCTTCAGGTGTACGTGGGCGGTGGCCCGATCGTGGGCCAAGTGCCCGTAACTGTCCAAATGCGTGACAACGTGGTCGAATTCATCTCTGCTCAGATGTGTGTTCTTCCTGCAAGATTCCCGCGTTTGGAGGGCCTGTTTTCTGAGGCGTTCTGCTTACACAGATGCAGCTAAACGAACCGCGCTGCGCTGCAGACTACGTGATGCTGCTAGTCTGGATATCAGCGGGGTGCGTCGCGTGATGTGATGCTGTTAGTCTGGAGATCGGCGGGGTGCGTCGCGTGGTGTGATGCTGTTAGTCTGGAGATCGGCGGGGTGCATCGCACGGTGTGATGCGGTCAGTCTGGAGATCAGCGGGGTGCGTCGCGTGATGTGATGCTGTTAGTCTGGAGATCAGCGGGGTGCGTCGCGTGATGTGATGCTGTTAGTCTGGAGATCAGCGGGGTGCGTCGCGTGGTGTGATGCTGTTAGTCTGGAGATCAGCGGGGTGCGTCGCGTGATGTGATGCTGTTAGTCTGGAGATCGGCGGGGTGCGTCGCGTGGTGTGATGCTGCTAGTCTGGAGATCGGCGGGGTGCGTCGCGTGGTGTGATGCTGTTAGTCTGGAGATCGGCGGGATGCGTCGCGTGGTGTGATGCTGTCAGTCTGGAGATCGGCGGGGTGCATCGCACGGTGTGATGCGGTCAGTCTGGAGATCGGCGGGGTGCATCGCGTGGTGTGATGCGGTCAGTCTGGAGATCGGCGGGGTGCGTCGCGTGGTGTGATGCTGTTAGTCTGGAGGTCGGCTGGGTGCGTCGCGTGGTGTGATGCTGTCAGTCTGGAGATCGGCGGAGTGCGTCGCGCGGTATGATGCTGCTAGTCTGGAGATCGGTGGAGTGCGTCTCCTGGTGTGATGATGTCAGTCTGGAGATCGGCGGGGTGCGCTGTGTGGCCTGCGGTGGCGCCTGTGATGTATGGACGGACGATCCGCAGTCCTCCGTGATCCGTCTTGCGGTAAAGCGTTCCATCAGCACAGCTGTTTCTCTGGTGGTGACGGCCTGGGATGCCGGTGGTCGCCACACTGATGGTGTGGTGGCCGGGGACGCCGGCGCCGCGGCCGATATAGAGGAGACGCCTAGGACTGCCCGCAGCGAGCGGCACAAGCACGGGCGTCACCAGTACCTCATGGGTGACACCCAAACCTACGCCAGTGGAAATCGTCCTATCGTCCTTGCAAAGTGATACAGATCGGTCGTGTCAGTGGATTCAAATACGCCGTCTTTCAGAGTTTGGCGCACGAAAAGGTTTGTCGCCGTGTGACGGCCGCGCGTCGGTTGCCATTTGACTGTCAAAGGAGGTGGGATCGTTCCGGCCAGGCCCAGTAGATTCAGTTCGGACATAAGAAGAGTGATGTACGATCTTGTGATGTGATCGAGATGTCTGAAGACGCGTTCGGTGGGTGTACATTGGTTGCAGTTGACTACCGCCTGAAGCACTTTGTCGGCGCGTCATAATCGTGTGCGTCTGAGTCAGGTCTGATTCACATCCTGTCGCTGGAATCGGTTGAATAAATGTTGGCTGACCTTAAATCAGCGTCAAGTGATGCTTCCTACTAAAGACTCAAAGTACGGAAGGCCCATTGGCTGACACCGATGCGTGGCGACTATATCATTTCTTTCAAGTACTTGAAACATTGCAGCGCGTTACTTTGTGATTACGCCGAGCGGTTGCGTCAGCATATTTTATCACAATATGCTTCTTCGTTTTCGTCGCGGGAGGAAGACGTTGCACCGCAAACTCCCGCCTAAATCGGCCAGTGGCGATGGACGCAACTTACTGCTCGGATGATAATCACCCCAGCCCTCCACACTCGGTTACCAGCCGCGCCAGTGTTCATACAAAGCATTACTCCGCTTTCCGACTGAGTCGCAGGGTCTGACAGGTGCTGGTACACTCAGTGGGCTCGGGGATTCCCAGGCATAGACATGGAAGCCCTGTCTCCCTTTTCCATCGACATCTTAGCCCTGCCTCCTCTTTCCATCGACATCATAGCCTTGCCTCTTCTTTCCATGGGTATCGTAACCCCGTCTCCTCTTTCCATTGACATCATAGCCTTGCCTCCCTTTTCCATCGACATCGTAGCCCTGTCTCCTCTTTCCATCGACATCAGAGCCCTACCCCCTCTCTCCATCGACGTCGTACCTTTGCCTCCTCTTTCCATCGACATCGTAGCCCTGCCTCCACTTTCCATCGACATCGTAGCCCTGCCTCCTCTTTCCATCGACATCATAGCCTTGCCTCCTCTTTCCATCGATATCGTAACCCCGTCTCCTCTTTCCATTGACATCATAGTCTTGTCTCCTCTTTCCATCGACATCATAGCCCTACCCCCTCTCTCCATCGACGTCGTACCTCTGCCTCCTTTTTCCATCGACATCGTAGCCCTGCCTCCTCTTTCCATCGACATCGTAGCCCTGCCTCCTCTTTCCATCGACATCGTAGCCCCGCTTCCTCTTTCCATCGACAACGTGGCCCTGTCTCCTCTTTCCATTGACATCATAGTCCTCTCCTCTTTACAACCGTTGCTTCATATTTCTGCGGGGCGAGCACGCATCATATGGATCGATCACACAGCGAATGCACGGATCACGTTTTATTTACCAATCCTTGAGTATACTACATCTCAACGCGGGCCATCGCAGGTCGTTCAACATAAGAGCCCATCATACACGTGACTCATTAGCATCTTTTAAAACTTTTAAAACATGTCAACGGTCCGTAACGGAGCGATCCCACGTCGCCTCCCGCATCGCGAATATCGCGCACAGCGACGGAAACTGCATCCAGCACACGCGGAATGACCCACCATAAACAAATCAAACAAAACGCAACTGACACGGCAGGAGCGAGACGCCAAGAGGAGAAAGACATCACTACGAGAGACGTTGTACTGGCACATGACTGATGCACCACGCTCCTTGTTCCACGGTCCTGAATGCGCACGCCGCCGCGCGCTCACATAGTGTTGAACACCGAGCTGACGTGCCGCGTCCCGCACGTCCAGCTTGGCGAGCGGGTGCGTCTTTGCCGTGCAGGCGCTTGCGCTGCGGGCCGGGTCGCGCATGCGGCAGCGGCAGCGGCGGCGGCCCTGCCCTCTGCGCCGTGCGCACCACCGGGCCGGCGTATGGCTAGCAGTGCGGCTGCGGCCGAACACCTGGCCAAAGTTGCGGCGCGTGAACGACGCCAGCCGCGAGAGGTCAAGGCTGGACTTGCGCGCTGGCACGGCCGGCGAGCCGGCCGGCGCCGCTGCCGCCGAGTCGGGCGCGTCGGGCGGCGCCGAAGTGCGGCGCGGCTCGGCCGACTCGGGCCCCTCGAAGCGGCCGACGAGCCTGCGCACGCTGACCTCATCTGTCGGGCTGGGCGTGTCGAGCGGCACCTCCCGGCCATACAGCTTGTCCAGGCTGACGCTGCGCACGACCGGCAGCGGCGGCGGCGCCGCGGGGCGCGGTCCCGGCGAGCCGGGCGAGGCCGGCGCCGCCCTCGCGCGCCTCCAGCTGCTGCGGCGAGTCGGCGTACCTGGCCGGGCGTGGCGAGGCGCGGCTCGGCCTCGCCGGCCGGCAGCTCGTCCGTCAGCGAGACGGACGACACGGCCGGCCGGCACGGACTGCCGCCGGCCGACAGGTTTACCAGCGAGACGGCGTGCGAGCCGAGTCGCGGCGCCGCCGGCTGCCGGAGCTGTACGCTCATGCGCGACACGGCCGGCGGCGCCCCGGGGCTAGTGTCGCCCGGCGGCGGCGGCGGCGGCGCAGCGGCGGCCGGCCGCGCCACCGGCGTGCTGACGGCGGTGACGGCAGCATCGACGCGCGGGAACGCCAGCCCCGTCGCCGCCGCGTCGATGTCGGCGACGGCCGTATGTGCCGCGTCGTACGAGCCCCAGGAGCTGCTGCGGCTCGGCGACTGCACGCCGGCGGCGCGCAGCAGCGCTCCCTCCAGCGAGCTCCACGAGCTCTGGCGCGAGGGCGGCGCCAGCTCCACTGAGCCGCACGAGCCGCGCGCGCCGTCGCTCGACGACGAGCGACGCTCAAAGTCCTCGGCATGGCGACGCACCAGGCCGGCGGCCGGCTCGGTGGCGGTGGCGGTGGCGGCGGCGGCAGCGCGCGCGGCCGGACGGGGCGCGTCGCGCGAGCGCAGCTCCACCACCTGGCCGACCCAGGTCTCGGTCGGCACCAGGCGAGGGTTGACGCACTCGAACACGGGCGCCGGCTGCGGGTCGGGCCGCAGCGCGCCCTCGAGCGGCTCCAGCGGCAGCGACAGGTTCATGGCCTGGTTCTGCGACACGCTGTAGTCCTGGCCGTTACAGGGCACGCGCAGGTTGACGGAGGTGACGCGCGCGCGCGGCGTGTCGCCCGGCAGCGTCTGCGAGCGGCTGCGGGAGCGCGTCGGCCGGCCGTAGTGGCCCGGCGTGGTGCCTGCCGGAGAGGGGCGCCGTCAGGGCGGGCCGCCGCCAGCGGGTCACACTGGGAAAGCCTGAGGTCAGGCCACATTACCAGCACAGCGGTCAAGTCCTACACACGCCCGGCTGGTGTCCCGGGACGTCGCCGGACAACAGACACCGTACGGACGATGTAGGATGAAACACGTCCTCACTGCATGTATGCCATTATAGATTCGTTCTGAAATTATCCTTCATCAAGCTGACTTCTTCTAAGAAGCCGTGATTTCCTTTAACAATACCGCAAAACCACGTAATACGTCACACGACAAGAAGCACTCACACGCCAGACAAGTGTGACGCAAACCCAAACCCACATAGCCCAAGTAAATGGACCACCACACACGGCCTCCTCCGGAGACGGCCTCCCACGCCACCCGCACCGTACCGTTCATCTGCGCGAGCAGCGCATCAGCCACGTTGTCGGCCGGCGACCAGGACTTTGGCCGCGACGAGGCATCGGCCGCCGGCGAGTCAGGCCGGCAGGCGGCGCTGATGTCGGTAGCGTCGCCCGTCTCCTCGCCAGGCGGCAACACCGGCGACGAGAGCCGACCGCTCTGCAGGTTCGTCTCCGACTTGGAGCGCCAGAGCGAGTTGTGTCGCTGCCGGCTGGCGTCCAGGATTCCCTGCCGGGCGCCGGCGAGGGTCACGCGCCGCTCCGGCCGGCCCGCGGCTGGCCGTCCCGCCCCGGCACGGCGGCCCGTCCAGGGATCTGGACTCCGCTTGGCGTGCGACAAAGCGCCCTTGGCCCAAAATCCGCCACCACGCTTTGCGTGATTCGTCCGACGGCCAACTAACGGGTTACTGTTGATTTATGCATGCACAGTTGCGGGCACGCACAGATGTCCGCGGGCCTTCAAGGGAAACCAAGCGACAGGCTCTTTTTGCCGGGATTGCGCGAACTGCCTGCAGAAACGAGATACATTGACTCGATAAATGCCCGCCGTCGACAAGCCGCAGTCATGCAGATCAGTAAAATGTGCGAAGGCAACGACGACACATCTCTACGACAAGCTATGGATAAACAAGCTTTCCACATACCTGATAGGTTTCTAATTGTCTAAGAAAGCTTGCGTTGGGTTTGACACAGCCGCGACTCCGCTTCACGTATTTGAAGGCCTTCTCGTAGCTCCAGCCGTACGCCTTCATGGCGTAGGCCATGACGACGGCGGCCGACCGGCTCACGCCCATCCGGCAGTGGACCAGCACCCGGGAGCCCTCGCTCCTGCGAACACGGCCGCCCCGATCAGACGACGGACCGCGCGGCACCGGCGGACACCGGGCCGGCCCGGTCGGAGCGCCGCGCGCGCCGCCGGAGAAGACGGCCCAGCGAGAACAGCGCTATAAACAGCCGCTTCTCCCGGCGTTCCTTCGCCGAGGAGTAGGCGTCATGAGTGTTTGTCAGAGACATCGGCGGCCCGCAACAGCGCGCGTTTGTCCACGGCCGGCGGCGTTTTGTTCGGCACACAAAGGAGACTCCGCTGGGCGGACGCCACCGCCTGCCAAACATGCCACGCCGCACCTGGAAGACATGCGCACTACGTAGGGGACGCCAGACCCTGAGCCCCAGTCAGTGAGGGCAGCCAGCGTTGCGAGCGTACGCTTCCGTGAAGCGCGACGACATCCTGTGATCTTACACACAGGATTCGCAGCAGAGCTGCCAGACTCGGTTCCGCTGCTATTGCAATGCTCTACCGGACGTCACACGCACTATCGCTGTCCGCATCCGGCGAAGGCAGCGCCGGGTTCTGGCGATTTTATGACTCTGTTTTCATCGGCACAGACAGATGGCCGGAGAGCATCAGAAGGCGGGGACATACTGGCAGCCGACCGCGGCGTGACTCATGTGGCAGATCAGCCTCTGCAAAAAGGTGACCTTCGGACTGCATCCCAGTCTGCACGCGAGATCACGCAAACGCCGATTACCATTCGCAAAAAAATGACCTTACGAATACTTCGCGCAATCTTACAACCGGCCTCCAAGCCAGGAAGCCAGCTGTCCAGCGGATCTGCAGAGCTCCGGTGGCCGGCCGCCCTCTCTCGCCACTCTCGTCGCAGTACCCACTCACTTGGCCTTGGCGATAAACTTGAACGTCTTGTCCCAGTGCTTGAGCAGCTCTGTGGCCTCCTCGTCGTACACACGCACGTTCAGGTACTGGAAGCGGCCCGGGAAGAAGTTGTCGATCTCGCGCGTCACGTTCACGATGTGGCCGATCCTGCGGGCGCGGCGGGCAGCTGCGTGAGCCCGGCGCGCTGCGCGGGTGGTGAGCGCGACGCGGGTGTATGAACAGCGGGCGCCGGCGCCGGCGTCGTGCGGCTGGATCACCGCCGCCGCCCATTCTACAGGTGCACCCGTGCGCGGCGACTCGCGCCCGCGGCGCGTATGTACAGACGGGGCGCGCGCCGGCGCGACGTACCCGTTCCGTTTGAGCTCCTCGATGTCCGAGGCGTTCCACTCCGAGCCCAGGTAGAGGTGGTCGAAGATGCGCGACGCGTGGTCCATCTGGCCCATGATGACTAGCATCTCGGCGTCGATGAAGCCCTTGAACTCCTTGAGGCTGCACTCCATCTCGTCCTCGAGGCGCGTGCGCAGCTCCTTGGAGGTGACCTGATCCAGGTCGACGCTGAGCATGATCTCTCGGAGCCGGGCGCGGATCACGCGCTGCGTCTCCTCCTTCTCCGATGGCCTGGAGGCACGCGCGCGCGGGCCCGGTCAGATGTGGCAGGACGGCGGGGGCTCGAGGCGGACGGCGGAGCGAGAGGAGGCGGGCTGCAGACGGGGATGATGTGGGGGACGGGCTGGGGGAGAGGAGGCAGGCTGCAGACGGGATGATCCGGCCCACGGGCTGGAGGAAAGGAGGCGGGCTGCAAACGGGGATAAGATAGCCGACGAGCAGGAGGGGGTACAGTTAGGGCAGAAATGGGGTGAGGGAGGGAGGATGTGGAGAAGGATGCGATTGTAACGGAGCAAGAGTGGCGGGGACGGGGCGCGGTGTCACATCATACCACACAACGGCTCTGGGCGAACACAAAACTACCCCGCCAGCCTCGAGTGTGGACGGGATTCTGCGCTCTTCTTTACACCGGATTAACGGAAAACTGCAAATGACGACATATGCAAGCAATACCATGTGCTACAACACGTCATTGCAGCTAACAGCACATTCTCGACTGTTACATTAAGATCCTGAACCAAACGCTTAAGCTTCTTAACATCCGACCAGCACGCTGGACAAGTTGCCTAGTACCCGAGCGTTCAGAAAACTACGTAACGGCTATGATTCACGCGCGTTTCAACTGAGTGAGCCTGTGCATCGCAAGCGAATCCCGCGGTGGGCTTTCGTTGCTCGTCCGGAGTCGACACAGGTGTGTGATCATCCTGCCGCGGCAGAGGGGTGTTCAACCGAGGGGTCTGGCCACCCCCCTCCACAGTAGGAGGGGGCAGCCGAGGGGCCTGGTTGCCCGCTGAGGTCGCCGGCAGACCTGGGAAGGCACTCAATGCCCGCGGCGAGGGCAAGAGCACGAGGATCACCCGGCACTTGGGGAGGGGGGGGGGGGGGGATGGGGGGGGGGGAGGGGATGAGAAACAGCGATCTGCAACAACGGCCGTCCACAACAG